TGAACAATTTTGCAGATATGCAAGATGGAAAAAAATACAAAAGTTGTAAGGTTTTAAGTATTACATAGTAACACTAATATGACCTTGAACAGCGTCATCAAGATTATGAAAAGGTTACCTTGAATTTTTTTAATGGATTTTTTATGTCATTTTTTCTGTTAATTAATTTGAACAACTTTTGTATGAAACATTTTTCTATTTGTCTAATATTTGTTGAGATATTTGAGGAAAACTTGATAATTTTTTCAATATTTGGCTTACGATATTTTGATAACTATTTGTCGGAAGAAAAAATGGTATTAGACATTTTTACTAATTTTTTACTCTATTTGGTCTTAAGAATATATTGTTACAATAGTGCCAAACTTTTGCTAACCTGATGATTTTGAAAGTTCCAAAGGTCATCAAGGTAACAAAAGTTGGGGCATTGCAACAGTATATTTTTGAGACTAAATAGAGTAAAAAGGTCTAGTACCATTTTTTTCTCCGACAAATAGTTATTGAAATATCGTAAGTAAAATATTCAAAAAATTATCAAATTTTTCAAATATCTCAAAAACTATTAGATAAATAAAAAAATGTTTCAGGCAAAAGTTGTTCAAATTAATTGGTGGAAAAAGATGATATAATAAAAAATTAGGGTTTCTATTTAAAAATTTCAAGGTGACCTTTCTATAATCTTGATGACGTTGTTCAACGTCATATTGGTATTGTCATATGATGCGTCACTTAAAACCCTACAACTTCTGTATTTTTTTCTATCTTGAATATTTTCAAAGTTATTCAGGTGGCCTATTTTAGGTGTGTTACCTTATATAGCCTTCACTTTGTAATGCATCGCGATAATTTTCTACGTGTTGCGATTAACTCTCAGTATATCATTATGATGTCGATTGAAAATTAAAGAATTCATTCTATTAAACAATAAAGTCAAATTTTCCCTTTCTTCTTCAAAATATCCCCGTTATCGTTGTGGGAAAAAATTGAAGCTACGAAATATCAATCGCAAATATACGGAACCGTTTGAGAAAAAAGTTCAAGGACCGAAATTAGGTCTAAAAGACCTTATTGATATGTCGAGCATTGTGAGGTAAATTCGCACCACTTATAAAAAATCGATTATTCGTGAATATATACTACAAGTAAAACAAAGATACTTTTTAATTTTAATATCAGGATTGTCCATTATTTATTGCAGAATTCTTTTGTGAAGAATGAATATGTTAATATTAATACTTCGCTTGCAGAAACAGCGTGTACAAACGCGTACACGGCTTCGAATGAACTTATTCGAATGAACTCTCCCGAAAGAGTTAATCGTCGCGCCTGGAAATCGGAATCGACGAAAATTGCGAGCGAAAATTAGCGGTCGAAAATCAAAGCGAATTCGACTTGCCGCGATTGAACTCTTCGCGTGCGCGTTTCCTTTTTTCGTCGCTTTTGCACGAGCGACGTAAACTGCCGGTTGTCGTCCATAACAAAGTCGTCGTTAAAACGTCTCCGTTACGGGGACGTAAGGTGGCAGTAAAGCCGTCAGACGTCGCGACGCTCGGACGGCTGTCGTTTCGCGAGAGAAGTATCGAAGAAATAACTTGCCAACGACTGGGCCGAGGGAAATGAGAGGTCGTTCGGCGGGGAGAAGGGAGTAAAAATGTCAAAAGTCGATCGAAGCGGTGTGGCACGACTCCGTAAGACAATGGGATGTAAGGGCATTGTGCCTGAAGGGTGCTTCAGGATCGTTAGCGTGCTATAGGCGGGCAGAGGGGGGGGGGAAGGCGGGAGCGGGCGAGCCTCGATAATAATGCCTCAAGAGGCGGAATTCATTTTGCGAGGCAAGCGAGCGAAAAAATTTCCAATCACGGCGGAAATTATTTAGCAACGGATAACGGACGGATGGACGAACGAGGGGGAGTCGCTCGATCACCGTCGTGATGAGATTCGTTCACGACTGTTCGCGCGAGCTTTCACCCGGCTTTTCCGTTTTACGGCACGCGTCTGCGGTTTTCGATGGCGGTGCGCGTCACCGCGTACCGCTGAATTTCGAGCGATTCGAGCTCAGCCACACGGTGATGTAGAATTCGAGAATTCGGTAAGGAGATAACGAGCCTGTCGCTTAACGGCGGACGCCATCGCGGCTTGCGTGATTGGAGGATTTCATCCACATCGTCGCTCCGCGCGGCGGACGAAAATAGTTGTCGGATCGTTAATATCGCGGTATTTCTCGAATCAGGATATAAAAATAATGACGTCGTTGTGCAAAGACACGAATGAGAAATAAACACGGAATGGAAAGCGCGAGAGAGACGCACGTATAGGGTGTAACATCAACATGTGAGTCAGTATGACGGGTTGCCTGCCTATACGAATGATAATACAGAAAAAGTCACTCGTTGTTAATAATAATTGTGCAGTACTCTCAGTTACGACGAGTGCAACTAACTTTGCACTGTGATCGTTATAACAGTTTATCGACCGTTTATGACAGGAGTCGAGCCTTATTGAATTAAAAAAAAAAATGTTTAAAAAAGTGAAACTGAGAAATAAACACTACCGATTTAAGCAGAGTGAATAAGAGTAATAGTTAAGGAGATAAATAATACAACATATTTTCTTGTTTCACATAATTTCCTAATTTCTTTCTTTCGTTGGAAAGTTCGATAGGAATTGGGGATTAGAAGAAACGGTATAGAAATATTTAAAAGTCTTATATACCAGATTCCATTCATATTTCTACAAAAGATCGCTTCTGATCGATAACAACTATCAAGCCCTATTTTCGATAAAAGAGGCGACAAGATACAAGACTACAATGTTCCGAAAATATGTCGCTTGATAAGTGTCGATTAAGTTGCAATCAATATTTATACTGCGTTTCTGATCGATTCATACCTTTGCGATTTTTTGCAGAAACATGGATGGAATATAATATATAAGATTTCTAAATATTTCTATACCGTTCTTTTTAATTTTTAATTTCTATCAAATTTTCCAACGCAAGAAGGAAATTAAAAAATTATGTGAAACAAGAAGATACGTTATATTATTTATTTCCTTATCTATTATTCTTATTTACTCTGTTTAGATCCGTAATGTATACTTCTCAGGTTTACTTTTCTACATATCTTTTTTAATTTAATGAGGCTTGACTTCTGTCATAAATGGTCGATAAACTGTCACAACGATTACGGTACAAAATTAATTGCACTCGTTATAACTAAGAACATTGCAAATATCATTATCAATAAAGTCAACGGGTAACTTTTTCGGCAACCTCTGCATTATCCTGTCCGAATGAAAGCAGGCAACCCGTCATACTGATCTGTATGTTGATGTCGCACCCTGTACGATAGACAATTTCTTTATCAGCGAGGTCAAGCGGGATGCGCAATTTTGTCCGACGGAGGCCGACGGGGCGATTGGTATTTCGTCCACAAAGGTAATTATAGGATACAAAGTGTTACACACACGGGCGCGCGGCGTATTAGATAGTCGACTCACACGGAGGCGTGCGCGGCTGCACACGGAGCTCATCGATAACCAAGTCATTGGAAGTTTTGATTGAAGGCCACAGCGTGGGGGGTTGCCGGCCCCGATAAGTTTTCCTATTATCGACCTGCCGTTCTCTCGTAAGGAGTCTCGATTATGGCAACAGGAAGAGACGACGCACCGATTGCGTCAACATGGAGAAAAATCTGTCGGCTGGCACGCAGAGCGACATGCATAAAAATTCACCTCGCTTCGTCCTGCGCCGTTCAAGAAGCTTCTCCGAAATTTCAGGGTGCAATTTTACGAAGAACGTGATTGGTTCAAACTCGTGCACACACATATACACACATACATATATATAACAGTCATGCAAAAGTCGTGTAACATACGAACTCCGGTCGGAAATCAAATACTGCCGAGTGCAGCGTGCTTCTTTCGGGGCTGCGAAAGCGCACGGTGTGTCTCCAAAGCTTGTTAATCAAATGTCAAATTAACGGCCGTATATCAACGATCTACCTACAACACTGTTATCTCGGGCAATCTGGTGCATCGCAGTTACCAACCAGCGACAATGGAACGTTGACTTGCGACATTAGCTATGAAGATAACGTTGTGTGTTGCGCGCATAAAAGGCGTTTCGCATGAGGTGATCCGAGAAACATGGAAACGTCAGCGACGGAGCATCAGCAGAAATTTGCATTTTTTCAGCCGAGAGGGACAGGCCGCGCGAGTAACAGAGAAATACGCGCAAAAGGATCACCCCACGTGGAACGTCCTGCTCCTCGCGCGTGCACGCGAGATGAAAGGAACGTGAATAACGTGGAAACAAGCTCGTCCAAAGCGCTACGTATTAATGGCCGTGGGTAATATACCCGACGTGTACATGAACGAAAGTAACGGCGATTACGGTGCGGTCGCGATCACCGAAACGGCTAACAAAAGGGAGAATACGAAGCCAAATTCCATCAGATCCGTTTAATCTTCGGGCTTTGCAGCGATACCGGCGTCTCTACTTTCCACGCTTCGTGCGGGAGCGCGGGCGGACGCGCGTGGACGCGAATGGATAACGATCGGAAGCTGCGAAACGGTCTCTTTGTCGTCCTACAAAATAGTGCCGTCGGGCGACGCTAGCGTTGACAGATCGACGTCGTTAGTGTTTGCCACGTGTTTGCGTGATTACCTATACACGCGCCGACGACATGTATTTTCCGCCGTAATACTTCGTCAAAGCTTCGTCTCGGGCTGATTATCACGTTGTGTACGATATACCGGCGGCGTTTTAAAAAAAGTGTTAAGGATTTTAAGATAGTACTCACAAATTGGAAGAAAAGCGTCATAATAAAGATAAATCTAAACTTAATATTGTCGGAGTTATGAACAATTATTTGTTATTTTTAATTAAAGCAAGTGACTTACTCGCTCCCGATGCTTTTGTGTTCTCTGATATAATTTGTTTACGTCATTTAATAGCGAAAGGAGCACCATGCTTTAAAGGAATCCCCACAAAAAGTTTTCTTCGCTCTTGCTCGGAATGTAAACAAACTTCTAGTTTTTGTTCCCATTTATACACACGCTTCATTCCAAGTGATTATTAATCACACGTCTTCAGTGAATAGTTGCAGAGAGCTATCATAAAGTTTTCACCGAACGATAAGAGTGATGAAAAAATTAATAAGTAAAAGTAATAAATTAATTAATAAGTTAAATAATAAAAAATAATAACAAATTAAATAATACATTTTTTAACAAATTAATTAATATTGAAATCATTAATTTAATTAATATTACTGTTCATAAAATGATTAATTTAATTAAAATAAAATTAAAATCATTAATTAAATTAAATTAAAATTAAAATCATTAATTTGATTAAAATAATTGTCCATAACTCCGACAATATTAATTTTTCGACTCATGTTTATTAAGATTCTTTTCCTCCATTTTATGAATGTTATCTATTCTTAAAGTCCTGATCTTTTTCTTCTTTTAAATACCCCATGCATCACGTTTGCTAAATTTGATATTTTTATATAAAATATAAAAATTTTTATATTCAATACTCCACGCTGTTTGTTCGACTCGATCGGCTGTGTGTATGTGACAGGTGATAGCGATACAATGAACAAAACTCGCGTGACAAAGAGATCGCGTATAGCTAGCGGAAAAGACGAAAAGTAATAGCAAGACAGACTGTGAGAAAAGAAAAACGTGCCGCTTGAAACGACAGTATTTCGTCGGCCATCCAATTCCATCGCGACGGTTCATCGCAAAGTCAGCCTCCGATCGTCGCCATTGGCGAACAACGCGTCCCGCTCGCGGACGTCTAGGTGGGTACCTATACCCTTGTCCATGTTCCTGGGGTCAAACTGCTCGTCCTGCAGCAGGTCGAGTCCTTTGGCCCTTGTGGCATGCTGCTGTCCGACACCGCGAGCGCCGCCGGGATAAACCGGATAAAGCTGTTGGATCTTGGGGTACTGCTGGAAAACCTCCGGGACCTTGTTAGTGGCCTCCTTGGCCGGCGGCTCCAACAAGATCAGTCCTCTCTGGAGGGGCGACGCGGTCACCACGTCGACGATCCTGTGTCTGCACGTGGCAGCGGTCTGCGTCCTCGCGGTCGCGGCCGCTTGGGTCGTCGTGCTGGTGACCGGGCTCGGCGTGCTCCGGCCGCGCGGCCTCGACGTGATCAAGCGCATGTCGCCGGCGACGGCGGGGCCTCTGCCGTTGGCCCCGGTGAGCCCGCGGAGGGTCTGAGCGGTCGGCTTCGGGTTCGGCCGACTGGCCGACTTGCCATTTTTGTGCTGGCCGCGAGCCTTTCCCTTCCGCTGTGACTGTATCTGCGCGTTCACCACGTAGGGCGGGCTCAGATTGCCGGACTTGTCGGACTTGTGCTGCGCCTGCTTGCCCTTCGCCAAGGCGTTCTGGCTCTTGGAGAAGCTGGTCTCGCGCGGCTTCACGAACGGCCGCCTCGGCACGTTCATGCCGGCCGGGTTGTAAAGCGCGTACTCGGTGCGATCGGGCAGCGTCGACGTCCCGTAGAAGATCAACGCCCACTCGTGCAGGGTGGCGCGTCCTTGGAGTCCAGGGTGCGTCCAAGAATGCGGCGTAAAGAAAGCGGACGTTGCGATTAGAGGGGATGCACCGCGGGCGGCGGGGAGGAAGCCGGAAGCGCGTAGCGATTTTACGCGCTCGCTCGCTCGCTGCGGAGGACACGGATACGCCGGGGGTCATCGTGTGCACGGTCGAGGGGATTACACGTCGTTGGGGGGATGTTCGGCATCAAACCTCGATAATTCGCCGGCCGTCGTAGCCGTAGCGAGATTGCGCGCCGCCATCTCTCAGTCGTCTCGCGGCGCTCTTAAGCGCGGGGTTAACGAGGATCCGCGCAGCGGCGGGATCGACGGGAACAGTCGAGGAGATCCTCTTCGGGTTCGATGGCGCATGAACACGTCGCGCTCGGGGGGAGTGAAATACGCATCCACGGGGTGCTTGCGGCGGTATAAACAGCGGGATGGATTAAGAGCGACCCGAATACCCCGCGGACCTCCTGCCACCGGGACAAGCCGCAGTCTGCGACGTTGCGGAGTCGCAGGCTCTAAGACGGTGCAGTCGAGGCACATAAGCGCGTAAGGAAGTTTACGTAGCCATCGGCTTTGATGAGCGAGCGAGAGATCGAGGCCGGAGTGCTTTTCGCGCTCGTAGCTCGTCTGGAGGTCGCCGATGTGTTCATCGCCGTCGTCGTCGTTTCCTCGCTGCTATTTGCCGTTGAGGGCCGGGCGGGAGGCGGCTCCCCCCCTCTCTGTACAGCTTGAATCCGGGAATTATCTGGCCCCGGGGATAATGCAGCTTCTTAGGTGATCGCACGAGCGGGGCTTACGTAAGAGCCCTCCTGCTAGACGTCCTAGACATGAGCCGTTCTGCGAGAATGCCGCGGGACCTGCCAGCAACTACGGCCTCGCATCGCGAAATGCGCATGCAATGCTAGACATGTCTAAGCCATTCCGTCTGGATGACACGTGTGCGAACGGATTAGTTCTTTGTTACGCGATTTGTCTGTCTTCGCGGTTGCGAGAGTAACAGCGAGACTTGGCTCGGGAGACGCGGGAGCTGATAAGCGAGAATCGCGGACTCGCCGATTTCAGCGCTTTTCTTCCGACGACGACATTCGCGACCGGATGCGACTTGCAGGATGCAAGCGGCGGATGCAACTGGCAGGAATAACATAGTAACCGTGACCTTACGGCGGCGACGCAGAGAGACGCTCGAGGGAACTGTTGTTGCGGGGAATTCTATTTGAAATTTAGATCAGAGGACGACGCTGCGCTGCTAATGCCGGAGTAATCTCCAAAGCCTTGTCTTTGACGTTTGAACGTAAGACTGCGCTTCTGCGCGAGCACGTAATAGCCTTCGTATGAATATCAGTTGGCAATAACACGCGCAGCCAAGCAGCAGCCGATGGTGCTCGAAGAAACTCTCAACGGGACAAAAAGGACAACGAGAAGGAGAGGACCATTTTGTCATTGAGAACGCCCGAAACGTTCGGTCGGCGAATTCGATTCGTCGATCGTCATCTCCCTCCTCTCTTATTAATTTCAGCATCAGTTGATAGGACGAAGATGGAGGTGACGATCTATACCTGGGAAGATCGTCATCTTACGCATTTCGGCCCGTGATTTCTCGGCGCGTCAAGGCAAGGCATCGCCCAAAATCATTTCCCGTTAAAAGTCGCCAAATTTTCGGAACTCGATGCAAGCTACAAAAGTTACGGATAAAGGCCGTCAACGTGACAGGCGCGTGGTTCTTCCAGTGTTAAAGGGAACTTCCTTAATTAAGAGATCCCCATCAGGGAATTACTCGATCAGCTAAACAATTCCCCGATGACCGCGCGATATTAGTCTCAGCAAAGGGTGAAAGACTTTAGCAATATTAATTATCAGCGAAGAAAAGGGCGAAGAGTTAAAAATGCAGACGCAACTTAATTAGCATCGCGCTCCACAATTAGTATCGCGGGTGCTCTTTCGGGGATGCTCAACGATCGCGCATTTAGTCGCGCCTCGTCGTTAATTAGGCGCTCCGCAATTACGGCGTGAAAAAAAAGAAAGGAAAAGAGAAAAAGGAACGCAAGGCGCAATGCGACGTGGTCGTGACTTACCGAGGTATCGACCCTCATTGTGGATTTCTAATCTCCAGGTGCCGTGCGGTCTCTCGCCCCACGTGTGCACCGACATGAACGGCCATTGGCTGAAACCGGCCTTCGAGACGTCGTGCGGCCTCTTGGCGAGAAGAGTGCTCTTCGTGCCTTGAGGGGACGTTAGCTGTATCTGAAGATCCCCTCGTCTCGTCGCCATCAATGATACCTTCGCCTGCGACAAGCGAAACGGTATCGTGCCATTATCGTCAATCGCGTGTACTATCCCCGTTCGCATCGCCGGCACTCTCGCGCTTTGTCACGGGCGGCGTTACTAAGCGAGCTAAAATGGACGAACGTTCGCGTCGTGAGTTTCGCCGCGGGCACATCTGTCTCCTTGCGACTGACGCGATTCGACTCTCCGCGAGAGATTAGTGCGCAGATTAACCCTTTGCTGCACAAGTCAATATATATGTGATGACACCTTTTTAGCTGTCGCTTAATGTCTCTTAAATTTTAGGTTAAGGTTTCTTGTCATGTAATAAGTTTCTACGGGATCCTCGAATATTATTCTATGCACAAATCATGTCGTACAACCGTTATTTCGCATTAATTATTTGTTATAAATAAAATAATTGCACAAATATTCCTTTTTCCTTCAAAAATCATTTTTGGAAAAATTTGGTGATAAACACGTACGGAAAAATGTATATATTTATGTTTTTTTAGTCGCTGATTGTAAACCCGTTGTCAGATTTTCGAAATTCGAAATGGCGGATCCAATATGGCGGACCGTAAATTAAAAGTTTTTCCAATTTCTATGAAATTTGGGGTTTTTGGGGTTCTTTGGGTCTCCGATTACGAATCTGCTATAAGATTTTCAGAATTCAAAATGGCGGATTAAAAATGGCGGACCGTAAATTAAATTCTATCCGCCATATTGGATCCGTTATTTTGAATATTTGTATTTTTGACACAGGGTTCGTAATCAGTGACCCTAAAAACACCCGAGTGATAAGTTTCAAACGGATCCGGTTGACTTTGAAAATTCCATCCGCCATATTGGATCCGCCATTTTGAATCTTTTATTTTTGACACTGGATTCGTACTCAACGACCCCAGGAAATCCCGAATAACAAGTTTCACAAAATTATATGCACTACAAGAAAAAGGATTGCAACAAAGGGTTAGAAAAAGGAAAAAAAAGAAGAGAGAGCGAGAACACGGGGCGTATGCGTTTTTATGCGAGCGATCTCTTATATCGTACCGCCAATAATCAAATAAAAGCAATCAACTTGATTTACTTGTACTCTCCTTAATACGATTTGGATGCGCGTGCGCGGTCTGATAATTACGGCTCGCTGGCAGATGCGGTCGTTAATAAGCCGTAAGTTAATTCGCCGACAATCGAATAAGCAAAAGCACTTAGCGTGAGTATAGTTCGCCTTTAGTTTTCCGTAGGCGCGTCGTGAAGGGATGTCGAATAAAGGCTGAATAAAATTTCGACGTCTCTCGAGCGCGACCGCGAGAATGTCATTCCCCCCCCCTCCCTCTGGAGCTCCGCCGGCGCCTCGTTGACGCCGACGAAGTCCTCTAATTAGCGATGTCACGTGCGAGCGCTCGACTTACCTGAACGTGCTCCAGGAAATTAACGCCGCTGCACTCCTTGACATGTAAGTCGAGACTCAATTGACTCTTTGGCGGTATTGACCTAGAAGGTAGACGAAAATTCGGGTCAAGCGTTCACATTCGCACGCGCGCCGGCTTCTATCGTGCGGATACTTTTGCGAGCGGCTATACACGGTGCTCCATTTTTCCCGTCTCGACTGTCGCTTGTGCCTCTCGGTCAATCGCGTATTATTTGTTAAACTGTATCCTCTGAATCGCCACTTGCCGCGTGCATTTTTCACAGTAATCGGACATTGTTTCAGCAAATTCCAGCCGGACAGGTAGGATTGTTTTTGTCGTCGAAACGTCCGACTATGCGAGGGGAGAGGGGTCCGCTTGAATCTATATTTATTTCAATATTTCCGACTCTTGCCATATTTTTTCCTGACGCGATAAAACGGCGGGTGTTATTATTATCGCGACCACTCGAAGCGTCTCTCGGAATCTCGAAGAACTTTTATCTCCGATAGACTCGAAGGAGCTTAACTCGAGAATGATAATACGCTCCGTCCGATGCATCGTGCGAATTGCGACCTGTGTCCCCCCCGGTAGTTACAACCGTCGGCGATGTAAATGGTGCATTACACACGGTTATCGGGATTCTCGTGCAATGTCGAATGACTAAAGCCCGCTTGACGATAGCCGACATGCTCCAACGCATCCGTAATCTGCGAGAGGCATGTCTGCCGCCCTCAAGGGGCGGATAGCGATCTGTACGGTCGAGTCAAATCTCCATTTACTCCAGTTTCAAAACGCTTTTCATAAGATCGATAGATTCCCCGTACAGCCGTTACATCTCCCTCCGTGTATCGACATTCCGACGCTAAGGAGATCGTCGATATTAGAGAACTGCTCTTACTCAAGGGCGTAACTTTCTCCCTTTCCTCCTCCCCGGGCACTTACCTGCCAGAGTGCGGCGCCGATACCTCGCATCTGTGCTGCTCCGGGACGGTTCTCCACCTTTTCGCTAAGCGTACCATGGCAGTGGCGTCCATCAGTCCGTAACCGAAGCTGTGGCTCACTGTTGAGTATACAAATTCGACCGCGATGTTGAATTGATTCTTCATCTTTCCTTCGTGCGACTATATTCCGCATGTGTTAGGAGTGTGATTTAATTTTTAAGAGTTTTTTTCTCAAAAACTGATTTACTTAACCCTAGAGATGTGCGAACTATTTGAATTCGAATCGAATCGAATCGAATCTAATGTAATTCGATTCGATTCGAATCTGAATCCCTATGATTCGAATCCGAATAATTCGAAAATTTCGAATCGAAGATTCAATTACGAATCAAATATATTAGCGTGCATTATATTTGCATGCATCAAGTACAAAACGAGACATCTGGGCCTGTATGTTTGAACCCTTAACTTGTAATTAACTTAACTTATAATTAATAACTTAATTATAAATTACTTTAAATATTTAAATATATATTTTACTTTAAGATGATATTATAATATCAATATCCCCTTTCATATTAACCTTCCATCATTATGTGTATATTTAATAGTCATGTTAAATTTTTTAATGATTCGATTTGATTCGAATTCGTATGAAATTTCATAGATTCGATTCGATTCGAATTCGAATTAAAAAAATGAGATTCGATTCGATTCGACATAAAAATTCTTGATTCGCACATCTCTACTTAACCCTTTCACTGCTGAATTAACTTCCCTTGGGAAAATTATTAAAATGTTTGTCTTACGTTTTTTCGCGTTAGAAAAGATTTAATACTCTTTGAGGGTAAGAAAAGATTTAATACTTTTTGAGAATTTTCTCACTGTGTAAATCGAGGAACAACGTCTACATCTTCAGGCAGAATTGTGCGATTTGCAATATGATCTTTCGCTAAAAACACGGCAGAAAAAGGGTGTCGAATTCTTCAAAATTTAGGACGCATCGTGTTATCAACATCTTAGAAATTTCGGCGTTCAAATTTTCTCTATGTTTGAGTTCACATATTTATGCGAATGTTCTTTTTCCAAAATGAAAATCATAAAAACAGACAAACGTTCATCTTTGAGCGATGCATCACTATCTTCGTTGATGCGTACTACTTCTTCCAAAATGTGGATATATTATCCTTAGTAGAATCGACATGTAAACGAGCAAGAAAATCCAATTAATATTTCTATAAAAATTGGCCATTTTTCGCTCTGTACTTATTCTTCCTCTTTCGTTTTTATATTTCTCACGATGTAGGATTTCGCTTTCCTGTTGAGCCATATATTTCATTTTCATTAATTTTTAGTGGAATAGGCCTACTGAGGAGACCACTTAAAAAAAACGCATCAACAATACCTCATGGGTGATGTGGAAATCTATTGGCAAAACTTTAATAATTATATTCTTAATTATTGTTATCTTTATATTATTATTAAAGAGAATTTATTATATTAGAAATAAAAGCGTAATATTTCATCACCAATGAGAGTAAGAATTATTTTCTAAGGATAAATAAATATTTTATTATTGATTTGACGGAGGGTGCGATCCCATTTTATATCGTATATGAGACCGTTGCTGAGGCAGAGCGTTTCGTGCGCGATCGGCGGCTCTACCGCCGCGCTTCGAGAGGTAGTGGGGGAAGCGCGAGCGTTGCCTTTGAAATCAGCTCGTGCTGCTCACTTAATTCTCAACACTGCTCTAGAGCATGTCGCATCGACCGGAACAAGTGGTCATTGGATGGAGCAATGTCTGGAGAATACGCGCGATGCGGTAGTATTTTCCATTCCAGTTCTAATAGCGTTTGTTTTACCTAATTATCTCATTATCTAATAGAGTTTGCTTTACTGATAATGAAACATGAAGTCGAGCGTTGTCGTGAAGAAGGGTCAGCTTGCGTCGTTTACTCGCAACTGGTGATCGTTTTTCGTTCAATGCTCGTTTCAATTTGTATAATTGTTGTCGATAACGATCAGCGGTAACAGTTTCATTCGGATTTCGGATTTAAGTTCATAGTACATAGCACTTTCTTGATCCCACCAAATACATAACAATACCTTTGAACCGTGAATATTGCGCCTCGAAGTGGATGTTGCTGATTGGTCTGGATCAATCCATGATTTTTTTCGTTTGAGATTATCGAAATAGATCTGTTTTTCATCCCCAGTAACAATTCGATACAAAACACTCTTCATTTTTTATCTGGCACTCAACGAAATGCAAATATTCAAATGGTTTGCAATGGCATTTTCCGATAATTGACCTATTTTTCTTCTTTATTATGGTTTTGAATTTTCGTCCAATAACGCTTGAAAATCTGCATTTTCAGGTATTTTTGCTTGTCCCGAGCGATCTTTGTTGTTAACATTGAAATCATCACTTTTGAATCACCTAAACCAATATTCACATCTTAATTAATAGAGCAATATCGTTATAAGTTTCTATCAGAATTCTATGACCTTGAGTCTCCGTTTTCTACTGATTAAAAAAGAAAAGCAATGTCGAAAATGCTCTTTAGGAAGCTCCATTTTGAAGATGGTATTAACACGATTTTTGCTGCGTCCAATAGTCTGATAGTAAATGACTAAATATCATGGATGAATATTAAAGCATTACCAAACAATAGATGTGATTGGAATGTTTTCGACAAAATTGACATTAGTGTCATTGCAAAACCTTTAAAACTAAATCACACTCTTAATAAAACTCTAATGTGTCAAGATGATGGGGCAAGTTTACTCTGAGCTGGTTCGGAAGTCCCAAGGAATTTTGGAATTTTAATAATCCCTTAAGAGGCTCCGATAGGTTTTTTCGATTATGACTTGCGCTAATCAGTCTCACGATAATGACTGATCTATAATAAATATATTCGCATGTTAGCAAAGTAAATGAATACCCTAATTATTATCGAGTTTTCCGACATTTTGCATGTTTTTCTTAGGAACGTATTATCTAAAATATTTTTGTAACCAAAATTTATGATCTCTTTTGTTAATATTTGTGTTTTACAAGTGATATTTTGATTATAAGTTTGTACCATGTGGATTTATTCCCGTAAATTTTAATGAAGAGAGAAAAAAATTCAATCGATCACAGACGAGCCCGTATTTATTCCCGTAAACTTTAATAAAAAGAGAAACAAAAATAAAGAAAGAAAAAAATTCAATCGATCACAGTCGAGCCTTCTTATCGTGAGAAATGAGTTTTTCATTCGATTAAAACATTAACGTGGATATATCGACGACATTTGATCCTCTCCGACAGACACTTTCCCCGATTTCTAATTACGCTTCCTAAGATACGCGAATTGATCACTTCTTAACGGCACCTAACTTTTTTACGCACGGAAGCCCTTTGGTTACACCTTTGAGAAAACTCCGAAGTTGCTTGAAAATCCTCTGAAAATCCAACTCACCGTTTCTACCCACGCCGTTGACCACCCAATCGAGCGCCTGGAGGTTCGCGGGTTTGGCGGTTCTGACCACGATGTGTTGCATGTCTCTCCAGGTCAAATCCTTGTTCGCTTCGAGGGCGAGGGCACAGATGCCGGCGGCTAACGGCGCCGACGCGGACGTGCCAGTGTGGCTGCTGGTACAATGATGGTGCAGGTCTGTAGTGACGACCTGCTTCTCACCCGTCGCGCCTGAGCTATAGGTGGTCGCAAGGGTGGATGAGCACGCCTCGCTGTACCAGGGCACGAGGCCGTTCTCGGTAGCGCTGCTGATCGACAAGGTCCAGATGCTGTTGGTGTAGCCGTCGCAGTTGCAGTTGTCATGGTCGCGGCCGCCGTTTCCGGACGCCCACACGAAAATGGAACCCTTGCCGTTGCGACCCTGAAGACGAGCAATCGAGCGGGTTTTCTTTTTTAGAATTCCATCGGAGGAAGTCGAATTTAGCAATTCGATTTGATAACTGCGGTACGACCGCCGCGCTGATTTCTACTGAATATTTCAATGCTCAGCTCAAGGTTGAACCACCCAAAGTGAGTAAATGTAATTCGCGATGCATATATTCGTTAGCTCGTTCAATGAAATGTTTAGAAAGTCGAATTTGATGGTTCGGCACTTGTTAACACGGCGACTACCGCGCTGATCTCCACTGAATATTTCAGTGCTCAACTCGAGTTCTCGAATCGCCAAAGATGCGACGGATATTGGGCAAAAGTTTCGGCGGGTTTCTCCACGACGACTGATTCAGTTTGACAGGACTCACAAGTGTAGATGTGTAATATACCAAAGACAGCAGAAAACAATAGCGATTACTCGGTGGAGCAGGTAAGTCGTTTTCGATGAAATCATTTGGTCTGTTTTTCGCAGCTGCGATGAATGAATTCAAAATCGGCAACTTCGAAACACTATTCCTATCAGTTTGGAAACAAATCTGATAAAATCTCGAATTCTCGATAGTTTTTAGGATTTTCTATCTTATCATATATTCAAGTAAGCGCAACTTATGGTATCAAATATGATTTCTCTCTGTTCTCATTGTAATCAAAAGGCGCAAGAAGGCGCATATTCAAGTTATAGTGTATATCCTTACGAGCAATTTGATCGTATCATATGATTGATTTCAGAGTGGAAGTTCAGAGAAGGTTTCATTTGAAATTGAACAAGTGTACTATAAGATTCGAAACTACTAGTTTTATCAGACGAAACACAGTCAATGTACCATGAAGAACTTCATGTATTGATAAAAATAACTTTATTTGTTCAATTCAGAAATATAAATGTACTGCTATAACATCTGATAAGATAAGATTCAAAGAGTGTATGAAAGTCATAGAACGTTTAAATTTGCAAACATAGTCTTTTATATTCACGTCCTTCCACAAGCAATACTAATTAACATAAAGAAACAATATTTCAGCATTTAGTGTAGGAAAATGTATTTAAATATATATAATATCACATATGTTTGATTTCATGTAAGTTCAAGAAATTGAATTTTGGCCAACCACGGTGGACTTCCGGTCCACTATGGATTAATGCGATTCGCAAGATGCACGTATTCATTAATGATAACTCGCTCAATGGAATGTTTAAACGAAAAGTTCCACGGCCTCTCCATCGGTTATATATTTAATGCGTTGTGTGCAGTTACGCTTACATTTCATATATACATATATAAATTAATGAGAAGCGGCGATATTTTCGCACCGTGCCGGTCACTAGAGACTGCACCACGGCAGTCAAGCTGTTAAAAGAGTAATTGCGACAGCAGTTTTCGCGAGAATCGCGAGAAAAGTACATCGCAGCGCGCGGCCGAGCAAATTTATGTAACTCGCAGCTCGAGCGACGAGATTTAACAGGCGTATTTACCGCTTCGAGCGTCAGGCTCAAGTGAATCTGGCTTTGCCGCTTTAGATACTTTAGACGCGGTCGACGTTTTTTCCCTCTCTCTCTCTCTCTCTCTTTCTTTTTCTCCCGTCTACCGGTAGTTGGCTTTAAGACGCTCGAAACGCTTAAGGCGCTTTAGAAGTTCGGGACACTTTGCATGTTAAAGCCGCTTTCTGCGCGCGCGCGCGCGCGCTCGAAGACGAAGTGGTGGATGATTTGGAACGTAACCGTTGTTAGGAAGTCGATGAGGTCGGCTGTTTAGCGCTAATGGCTTCCGAGGGGTCACGATTGAATTGGCCCGCAACCCGTGACGAGAGAAACTTCCTATATGCACGGTCGTTAGCAAATTAAAAAGTTCATTTTGAGAAAATTGCCCTTTGAACTTCCAATCCGCCTGGCCGAATCGCCAAAGTATTGGACGTAATTCTCGCAGAATGTGTTTACCCGAAGGGAAAATCCTCTGGGGGAATTTCTGTGAAGTAATTAGGTAATCGCTGACACGAAGATAATCGTGACATTTGATGTGCAGCTCGCTAACGAATGAATTTTTCCTCTGCAGAATGTTACTAACAGAATTATCACTATGAATCATTATTAGAACATGTGAAGGAAGAAATCGTAAAGAACGACCGCATTTGGAGAAGAAACAGAAAGGTGCTTTTTCACCTATTCGTCTGATCTAGTCTCCCGCGACTTTCTTTTATTCCCGCACATGATGAAGAAATGGTTGGGAATAAAGAAATTCACGACCAATGAGAAAGCGATTGCCGTCGTAAACGAGTACTTTGCAGGACTTAACCTAACCTTTGCTGACGGAATAGGAGGACTAGAAAAAAGATGGACAAAGTGCGTCAAGAACTAAAAGGAGACTATATTGAAAAATAAAACCCATTTTGCCCAAAAATCTAAGTGCTTCATTGTAAGGCTCGGAACTTATCAAACAACCCACGTAGCTCATATATACAAATTATTCAATCTTACCGGGATCACATAGAGGCGTGCTTCGTCGAGACTAAAGGTGCGGCTATCCCGTGATAAGATCAGGCATCGTGCACACATCTATGTGTACGTAGACGTGACCACGAACTCTGAACTCTCTTTGAGACTTAACTAATTCAGCAATATAGTGCTCGAGCCTTTGATCAGTAGGCTATTTGATCGTAAAGTGATAAGGCATCAACCTGGCTGCATCAGGCGTTCAGACTCGTACCGAGAAACCCACGTCTCTCACCTGTGTGGTATGTTGATTGCCTAAATTGAAAATGTCCTTGTGCGTTACTTCCCGCGGTGGTTTTATATTTCTCGCAGGGACACTTTCTCAATTGCTTTTCTCCACGAGAATCCATCTATTGGGTAACCAAGAAAAAGTTCTTGCGCCTCTTCTAGGTTTTGTTAATGTCAAATTGCACATATGCGCATACTATCAATTAAAAATGTGATTATATATGTTTAAGCAAAAGCTTATTTAGCAGAAAATTTACCGGTGTATGACACTTACGGAAATTGTTATTTAAAATTTTGCATAGCTTAAAGCGTATATTAAAATGGCGCCAATTTTCTTCATTAAGGCCATCATAAAATAAAATTCCATAAGAACATAAGACGTAAGAACGTAAAGAAATCGGCCAATCCCAATCGAGTGTTCAGCTCTTCATAGCCCCTTCACTTTTATCCGTAAGACGTAAAACGTAACATTGAAAAATACCGTAAGGGTGAAATTCTTACGTCATATATCTTCTGGGCAGCCAATCATAAATCATCAGGATATAGTTTAAAATTTGGAGCCAAAGTGAGGTGAGGTTATACGCGTATTTATCTCCATAAAATGGATGATCACAATCAATAAATTTAATATGTTTAGCAAAAATAATGAATTCCTTAAGTTGAAGATATACGTGACTTACATTTCTTGCCAAGGTTGGCTTCAACTTTTTTTTAACTATTATTGAAAGAAATATAAATATAAGATTGGTTAAATATAACCTATGTGATGGATTTTTCGACACGAGACATTCCTTGTTATCAAAATGTCAATGATTTTAATATTTATATATCTAAGTAGATTTGATATTAATGTAAAATACGCAACTCAATCAATTATAAGAAGCACGCTTACTGTTTGGTGGAACGGTACGCTGTATTTTGACACTCTAGTGATCTGTTCTTTGTAGCTTCTTCCTTTTGTTTTTCAATGGCTTCTTTGGCTAGGAGCGATTGAGCTTTGCTTTAATTGCCAAAGTGTTCTTTGTAGCTGCATTGTTAATTAGCGCAGCTCCAAAGAACAGATCATAGCTTAAGCTTTTATAAATAGGAGGGAATTTTTCTGCGTTTGTTATTGACTAAACCTTTACGCTTTACGCCTTAAGCTTTTGTCTCACGTTCTTACGGCATTTTCTATGTTATTAGGCCTTTACCTAACATCATCGCGCGAATATTTTTGTGTCCGCCGATGGACCGGAACACCGAGGAGTCGTCCAAATTTGTATTATTCGTAGAATATGAAGTTATGATAAAACAATTATAATGTAAAATAATAGATAGATAGAATCGCATATTACATGTCCCTCTGCTTTAAGCCTGTCTGTAAGGTCAAAAATATTGATTTTTTTTATTAAATTTTCCGATACATATATTGTTAAGAATCCATTCTAAAATCCGTATCGAAAAATTCAGAAAATTACGAAAGTTACAACTTATTATTCGAAGCGACGCACAAGTTAAAATCAGAACGCTCACTGGATCTTTTAAAGTTTCGTCATGCAATTGTTGTAAAAATAATCCTACAAAATTTAAGAATGTAAAAAAGAGTTTCATGAAGTCGAGAAGAATTCATTATATGGACCTGGAATTGCCGATTAGGCTGAAATTTACGTGAGTACTAGAAATATGATTGAATAGTACATGAAACTTTAAACGTGTTTTTCTCAAAATGACTCTGCTTTAATTGGCTCCCACGATTTGAGACAAACTAATGAACCAATCGACTTCAGTATGTAGTTATATATTCGAAACATGTCTCTCTATCGTGTGAACTAGTGAAATTAAAAAAATATTAATTTTTTATATTTATTTCTAACGTAAAACTGTCGATTTTTATGGCGATTTTTCAAATATAATTTTTAAATACCTTAAAATTATTGAAAAAATTCATTTTTTATTTCCCTAGTTCAGACAATAGCAGCAAGTTCGTAGATTAATTATCTTACTTGCGTTTTTGTCCCAATCTACCTCTCGATATTTTATAGGAACCGTGAAACGGCGCGCGCCTAAACGCGTCACGTTATTCTTTATGCATCTGCTATGTTATTATTCATATAACACTATAAAAATTCATTCTTATAAGTTAAATATATATTATTATTTCTACCAAGTTCGAAATCAATCGTCCGTTTAGTTTTCGAAAAAAAATTCGTGAAAATAGCCTATTTTTTTGGCTTACAGACAGGATTCCCCCCTTAAAGCTCAGAATTGTTCGACGTGATTTGAAGAGGAATGAG